GGGGGGGCACCGTGGTTTGAGGGCAGCTTGGATGGGGGGGGTCTGGGGGCACTTTGGGTTGGGGGTAGACCTTGAGTTGGGGGAGAGTTTGGTTTTAAGGGTTTGGGGGGGGCACTGTAGGTGGGTGCACCTTGGTTGGGTTGGGGGGGGGTGTTTGTGGTGGGTCTGGGTGAAGATTGGATGGGGTGAGGGATCAGGGGTGAAACGGGGCATTGTGTTGGGGGTAAAGAGGATACAGGGCAGCCCTTCTCCATCCCTGTGGGGCTGACCCTCCCCCCCCCCCCCCATGCACCCCCAGACATCGCTGTGGGGGCTCCCTTTGAGGGGCCAGGCAAGGTGTACATCTACCACAGCAGCGCCGAAGGACTGCGGCGCATCCCCAGCCAGGTTTGGACCCCCCTTCCCCCCATAAAAAAGGGTATGGGGGCTGCAGCCCCCACTTGCATGGAATTAACAGTGCCTCCCCCCCTATAGGTGATCAGTGGGGCAGAGCTGGGCCCTGCCAGCATGCAGACCTTTGGCTACGCTCTCAGCGGAGGGCTGGACGTGGATGGCAACTCCTACCCCGACCTGCTGGTGGGCAGCCTGGCAGAGCGCGTGGTGCTGCTCCGGTATGGGGACACAGAGCACTGCCAGCCCTACAGGGACAGCTCTGCTGGAGGCACAATGCTCAGCCCCTTCCCCCCCCTTTTGCCCCCCCCATGACCCTGCAGTGCTCGTCCCGTCATCAACATCCTCGACAAAACCTTCACCGTCACCCCCAGCAAAGTGGACCCTGCACGTTGCACGCCTGACTCCTGGTGAGCAATTGTGCACGGGGGGGGGGGGGGGCTCCAGCACTGCAGCACGGTGCTATGGGTCTGCTCAGTGCCTCCCACCCCCTCCTCCCCCCCACAGCATCACAGTGACCGTCTGCTTCGCCTACAACCAGAGCGCCGGTGACCCCACGTACAAGGAGAGGATCAGTGAGTGCACGTGGGGGGGTTGGTGCAAGGGAGCGTGCATGGGGGGGGGGGGGGGGGG